TTTTCTAACGAATGTACTGCTACTAGGCACACACAGGTGTGAATCAATGGGAATATGTCAATGTTCATGTCTTTTTCATTCATTCATTCATTCATTCATTCATTCATTCATTCATTCATTCATTCATTCATTCATTCATTCATTCATTCATTCATTCATTCATTCATTTTTTTGTTAAAAGTAGTGGAGTTCCTGCTTCTTAAACATGCAGTTATTTTCCTGTTAAAAAAAATTACAAGCAGTTAGTATCTTGCCCACACAGCTCTCTGAACATCTTTGTTTGACATAGATCACAATAGATGATCCTGGGCACTTAAGAAAATGGATAGTGTGAAAGGCATCAAGCATTAATTGAGACAGCACAACACAGTGCAAATTTAGTTTATAGTAAAGTTCAAAATTGGCATGCCTACGAAAAAACATCTAATTCTTGTGACAGCTTTAGGGCACCCAAGAAAGTTCAGCAAATGCCAAGACTGTCTCCTCAGCAATGGAAGCATGCAGGTGTAACTGTTGCTACATGCACAGTAAAAAAAAAAAGCTGACCTAGTACCAAGAAGGGCAGACTCTTATCTCCAAGAAAAACTTTAAGGACAGAATAATATTTTTCAGTTAGTAGTATAATTGGACCGGGTAGAGGGATTTTCTCAAATAAAGTCCCTTATAGAGAGTTTAGGACATCTGGAGAAGGGACTGTTTGGAGAAGAAGAGGTAAACACTACCATGAAAACAGTGTCATGTCGACATGGAAGCACCATGAGATCATTTTGTTTAAGGGAGTGGGTTCTTTTACTATGTTGCCTAAAACACTGCCATTATTAACCCCTTAACTGTCACACTCGAACGCTTGCATGTTGCCCTTTGGGTCCATGAGGACACCGGTTTGCAGGTTTTATAGTGCGGGATCAAGAAATCCTCCAGGAGCAACTATACCCAACAAAATAGGAGCAATATGGAGATGAGCAATTGTTTGACCAGCACAACAGAGCAAAAGTGAAAACTAAGTTGCTTAGCAGAAACATCCTCAGATTTATTCCCCATTGAGAACATATGTATTGGGCCTGAAAGTATTTCTTATTAAACACCTTCATTACGTCAGAAATGTTTTATATTAAACTTCACTGCTCTATACAAACAACTGACAAAAAGATCTATTGCAACATTGAAACAATAAAGCTTATAAAGCACAAAACCTAGTCCGTAGAAAATTGATACTTGCATGAAATTAATCCAACATGTACAATTTCAAACAGTCAGAGAAAAACTTTGTGGCAGATCCTGTGCACTGAGAGGACTTTTTGAGATTTAAACTGGAAACCTTACTGGGTGTGAAGTGGCAATCCTTAGGAGTGGCACATTACTATTGGTTAAATAACTTCCACCAACAGGAGTCATTAAGGAAAGAAACGCAGAGATGCCAGCTTCTGGATGCATGCTCCCAGTTTCCTCCAGCCTCTAGTGGAGCTTTGAAGTCTTCAGTAAACTTTTACCTGATGACCCTGCCTCTGCCTTTTGCCCTGAATGCCTCCAAGACAGCTTCCTCTTACATGTACCAAAGTACAGGTTGAACAAAACAGACTTTCTCAGTCATAACCGTTGGTGGGCATGGGGCCATGCCCCCGCAACTTAATTTGAGAGACGGCCCGATGTGTCCCTTGTGGGGCAACTTTATAAAACCTGAGGACAGACCAGGAACCCACGGAAGGCAGCTGGACTGAGAGGGCTTTGTTCTCCATTGATTTGTTTCCAAAGTCAGTAGGTGAACAGAACTCACATTGTGCACTTTTTCCATGAGTAAACTCAGGCTGTCAACGGAGCCTCCTCTGCCCGGTTGAGTTGCTCTGCTTTGAGAAAAAGACTGAGCTCCTTGTACCCAGCATGAAGCTAAATAAGCCATTTAGAGTGAAGGATTTTTTCCTTCTTCAATGGACTGTGGAGATGCCAGAAACAAACTGTGTTTACATAAGAGATCAATCTGTGGTTGCAAGATAGCTTTCCACCCTTTCGAGATTTTCCCCCAAAAAAATAGAACAGCTGCTTAATATGCACATAGAAATGATCAAGCATACAAAATCTATTCATTTATGTTTGTGCAAGTTGGATTATTGCCACCTTTGTATTACAAAGATTCATTCTGTGGTCGCTGACTCACTAATTACAGCCATTTATGCATTGAGATAGAACACAAAGGCTGCAGCATAAAATCCATTTGCTGCTGACTCTTTCCAACCTCTGTGCCTGCCTATTGTGTTTAAAAATGTTCCAGCTAAAAAAAAAAATATTAATTAGACCTGCAAGGGTTGGAGCATTTCCACAGAAGGATACAATTCTGTTCATTTAAATGACAATGGCGTGTCTGCCAGCTGCTTTTCCCAGCGCTCTCTAACCCCGGCCATTATCGCGATTCAAAGAGTAATCAGCCTCCTCTGAGTCACACACAATACAGAGAAAGTGTTTTCCGTGGATTTTAAAAAGCTTGGAGTTTTCTTTCTAATGCAAAAGTGGTTCAACTGAGCAGCAGTGGACAGTGTTAGACTTTTTTTTTTTTATGTAGAACACCGGGCAATCAGCAGTTCCGAGTTTATTTAATTTCAGTCTAGAAAATTGGCCAAAAACCCTGGAAAGTGTTGTAGCCTCACGTTGATTCCGGGGGTTTCCCTCCTTTTTGCTATGACACCATTTAGTAGCTGAGTTTGTCAATGAGAGCTTTGTAGCTCTGTTCTCTGTTCCCAGGTTGCTTGAGCAAACAGTACAGTACAGATACTTCACACTCCTGCTGTATTCATCCAGAGCCAGAAAACCTGAGCGTTTTGCTTCTTCTCAATTTCAGCCGTCAGTTCCCTCCACCCACCAAATCAAAGGACCTCTTTACTTTGAGGTCAGGCAGGTAGCTGCATTGCCGGAGAGTAGACTATTTTTATTATTATTATTATTATTTTTTTTAAGGCTTTTGACATTTAACGAAGGATGAAAAGGTTTTGAGTCTCAAAATCACAATAAAAATGACTCACGTTTCTATAGTTAGGAAGTAATTTCAAAGAGATTCCAGAGTGACTGAATATTTCTCCGGCTGTTTGGAGCACAGGGTAATACAATGTGGCTAAAAGAAGTGAAGTAATTTTACATCATGTTCAAGAAAAACACCTTTGATGACTTTTCAACATTTCCATAACCACAGAGAGTTATGATGTGGAAACTAAAGAAGTCCCACTGATTATGCTTATGAAAGGGACAGTAATTATTCTTCGACATGACTTTTCAACAAATAAAGATTAAAAAGTTTCATATGAGAAATTTAAGACAAGTCAACTTGAAGGGATTCAATGTTGTACTAGAGGTTAATCAATCACTACACATTCACACCTTTCACAAAATACCATCTCAATGCAAAACATGTTGGAGCAGCACAAACTGCTTCTTTGTATTTTTTTACAAAGAAGTTAGAAAAATCATAAGAGGTTCCTGAGACACTTGGAAGCTGGTTGGGTATAATACCACTTTTCATCTAATACTGAAGGAGCAAAAACGGTTTCTGAATTGAAAAGGGTTAGGCTTATTTTGTCAGTATAGGTTTTTGATTAAATTGTAATTATTTGTGATTAATTAATTGCAATTAAAAACTACTTAATAACTACTGAAATGATTAACTACTACCAATAATAAAACTACAGACATACACTTAAAAAAAAATAAAAATACAAGGTATGTCATCAAGGTTTAGAAACCCCTAGTCATACAGTTTCTAGGGTCCTTCTCAAGGACATGCCAGAGAAAGTGACTTGAGTTTTCTTTGGCTGCATGCAGCATAGAGCAGCAAACCACTTGCTTACCTGTCTTTTGAGACACATCATAAAACACTGTTGTCTTAGGAAGGCCATCAACAAAACTTTGGAAACTTTACAGAACCACAACCCCAAGCAGTGTTACGCAACCTCGAGCCTGTTTAATTTCCTCTCCTCAAAAACCAGATGTATGCAAAGATTGTCAAGCATTTCTCATAACAAAATCGTAAACAGTTTGGTTTGACTTAGTGCAGTCATTTGTTCACATGTTTCTTCTGTCAATGTCATGTTTTTTTTTATTATTATTATTATTATTATTATTTTACACTGGAGGTGCAGGTCTGTGCTCATTGTTATCCACAATCACTGCTCATGGTGGCAAAAGTGGCTTTCGTGTTCCCAGTATTCGCAACAGGAAATGAGGAAAGACTGATTGGTTACAGTTGGAGCATCAATCTGCTTTCAACCTCTCTTTGTCCTGGTAACATTACAGTAATGGAGAGAACCAAAATAAGCACGTCCCTTTGGGTTAAGTAATGCCTTGTTTTGGAAGCATAAAACTGTTCTCAAGCAATATCTGAAAAAAGAGGGTGCTACTTTTATTTTCCTGAACAGGTTCCAAAATACACTACTGAGCCCCCCCCCCCCAGGGGCTCCCCCCCCCAACCCCCCCCCCCCACCCCCAAAAAGGCTATCAGAGCCATTATATTGTCTCTGCAGATGAATAGACAAACGCAGCCTGGTATGCTAAGTGAAGGAGAGTCTTTAAACTGCTATGAAGCAAAGCTCTGTTCAAGGTTGGCCACTATTAATGACTGGGTTTTAGAGCATGAGAAGCTGTTTGGATTGTGGGCAATACGAGCCAGGGAGCGCGGGATCAGAGTCGCGTCGACAGGATCTGTGGGGAGCCGTGTCATGTCCAGAGAGAGCTGCCTGTGCTCTCACTTTCCTGACAGGTTGCAGTAAAAGTCGCCATGGACTGAAGTAAGGATCTGATGACTGCGTGCAGAGTTCTGCAGCAGCACCTTTCTAAAGTGACTCAACTGACACTGCAAGCAGCCAGATTTGCACTCTCACATGGTGGAAGCAGTCTCCTCCTTTTCCTCTGCGAGAACAGTGTTTGCACTGTCAGAGCCCAGAGCTCCAGAAAATGGTAATATACACATTTATAATGTTAACATAAGTCATGTTTTTTTTTTTGTTGTTTTTGTTTTTCAGAGGAGCTCAGGTGTGCCGGGGTGACATGTCCTGCCCTGCAGGTGCCCTCTTGCCCCAAAGGGTCAGTCTTGACCAAGAGCTACACGCCCCCTGCAGGGTGCTGCCCCTCCATGCCGCCCCAGTGCACATGCGATTTCCGTGCCTGCAACAAAACCCACTGTCCAAGCGGCCAGCACGCTGTTCTGATCAGTCAGGCTAGCGGTCGGCCAGGAGACTGCTGTGACATATTTGAGTGCCAGAAAGGTAATTCCACTGAAGTACATACCACACACTTTGATTGCTCTCCTTCACAGAAGCAGTTGCACAGTTGGTGGGAGGTACTTCATTGATCTGGAGGTAATTATTCCCCCCTGCATGAGGCTTTCCCCTGCTGAATAGTAAAAAGGAAAGTTGCTGATTAGATTGGAACTGTTAGGAGTGCTGAGTCAATTTCCCCCCAGAGATTATAAGAAATAGTTCAGGATTTTCTAAGTAAGGTTCTGTTAGAAGAGTATAAGTAGCCAGTACCTTACCAGCTGTAGATAGCTCATTTTTCATGTTCATTTCGTACAACCTAGATTATACTGGGTATTTTAAACTAACGACCGGGGAAAAGAATAAACTGGACTTCCACCACTCAAATATCAAAAGGGGAGGCAGCGTGTCGGCAATAGTCCTTCTGTTGGAAACGCATTCTAAGAACAGAAGTTGCTGGAGAACAAAGCCTGTATGTGACATTCATTTTGCTCTCTGTAGTGGCCCACTTGGGTCCACTTGGAGTCTCAGTGGACATCACTGTGTAGTCCAGATTGTTTTGTGCTTGTTGACTGTGTATATGCAGAAAAAAGGGAGTCATATCATGTGCAAAAGAAGGAAAACAGCAATGTTGGTTTTTAAGAAATTTAGAGAGATCTTGGTGTTTCCCCCTTTTGGATCATTAATCGGAAAATCTGCTTTGCTATATTGATGAGAAATCACTTTTTTTTTTCAATTGTAATTTACATTTTCTTTTAATGTCTTCTAAATAGATAGTTCTGAATAACGTGCAAAGCAGACCACAATCGACTCCCACCACCCCCCATGAGGTTGCACTGAAAACTGAATAACACTAAATAAAACTCTGTGGTTGAACAGAACCAAAGTTGCTTGTTAAAGACATGCACAGCTTGTGAGTTTGAGCACAAAGGATTTTTTTATTTTGCTGCCTTAAAAGCAGGTTGATGTGAAAAGGAAAATACTAAGACAGTTTAAGTGGATTCTATTTTTTTTTTGGTTTTTACACTTTACTAACCCCAACTGTGCATCTTTGGTGCTGTACATGTTATGTTGTCAGTATGTCTCACACAGGGAGGTCTTAAGTGATACACCACCTCCCACCCCTACTTCTTGTATTAGACAAATAATCAGCTTCTTTGTGAATAAACAGTCAATGCAAATGTGACAAAAGTTCACAAAATGACATTTGCGCATTTATGCTGAATGGAGACCCCGGGAAGCAATATTAACTCCTCCTAAACTTTTGACAAAAACTCACTTCAAAAATCTGACCCATTACTTTAGAGACTGGGAATTTTTCTAAATAGCCTAAAGAGATGGGACATATAAGGGGGATAATGATACAGCAACAGGGGGGAAAGAAAACTACAGTTTCTCAAATCTTGAGTTTTGTAGAGCATATAGGCAATCAGGAGCTCCAGCAGGGAGGGGACCTGCAGAACTGGCCTGTTTACTCTGCCCGCCCAACAAATATTTAGTGTTTTACCAACAGAACAAGTTCCCATTCTGGCCCATCCAGATGTATAAATGTGTGCCGTGTCCTGGAATTAATAGACTTAACAAGCCTGGTGACCAGAAAAGTGCTTAGGCTATGAATTTTCTGAACAGGAGTGCAGTGTCAAAGGGTTCCTGTCTGGTCACACATCCAGAGGGGAAAAGGTTCAACAGTTCATTGATGGGAATGCTTTTTATGTGCTCCAGTCTGCCAGTGGGGAGGGTAATCGAGTCCGGCATGCCGGCGGGGGCTGAATGGCAGCCGTGGGGGCCACAGGATCAGTGTTTTGATAACAAGTGTCCGCTGCTTTTTGGACCTGGGGCTTGATGCCCTTTGTGTTGCGTCTACTGTCCGTTAGGCCCTGCATGACTGCCTGCAGTGTCAGAAAGCTCCACAGAAAGGGAAGTGGACAAAAGCACAGAGTCCCCCTCTGTAAATTTTCTGAAGCAACATTGACACAGCATGTCTAAATCACTTGAGACACCATCCTCCAATGAAAGACATTTTAGCACACTCTGTATTGTATTTCCGTTAGTGGTCTGGAACGATTGGATTGTTTCCACGGCTGGGGCGAGGGGCTCATTTTTAACTAGGATGAGTGTGTGCAATTACCAAATGCACTTAGTGCATTTTGGCTTCCATAAACAATGGAAGGTATTCTTCTACTGACTGAACAACTATTGTAGTCTCTACAACTTCCAACACTGTTCTGGACCAATAACATGATGTCACAGATGATCCTGTTTAACTGCTGTTTCTTAACACTCTGGTTGGCACATTTGCAGAAAACGTCCCATGATGTCAGACTTTACTCACATTGCACATGATAATAAGATTCATGCTGATGTTAAGCAATAAGGCTGAGATCATCATGGAAGACTTGATCTTGTTTTGAGCATGCAGCCAACAGCTGTCCTCAAAAGATTTTGAGATGCATTAAAGATAGAAGTTAAATTTCCCATCCATTATTCATTTTTTTTAGAAAACACAATGTTTTGGTCTCACCACTGTCACAGTTTTAGATGGGCTTCTGCTCATTGCTTTCGAGTCCATCTATGTCCACATCAAATCTTCGTATCAGTTTATTGAAGAATGAACGTCATAAAGCATGACTGGAATTTAAACTCTGCTCCACATGTTGTTTAAGGGATTACCATTAACAAAAGCTCAGGAAATCACATGTGAGCGTCCCCTTAAAGTGACTTCCTATTGCTTCTCTGAGCGTTAAAAAGCCATTGCCTTCCCTTTTGATTTAGCCGGGCTGAAGCACTTATTGCATTTTCTCTGGTCGGTTCTGATGCACACATAAGTGGGATAAAAGGAACGGAGAATGAAAGGGGAGAGAAGGGTGAAAAATGGACAAGGAGAGTAATAAAAGATCAACAAATCCCCTGCTTTACTTTCAACTCCCACCTGCTTCGTATTAGGAGCGCAGCGCTGGTTGTCGGGAGGCATGGGGTCATTTGGCGCGGAGGCTTTTGAGTCTCTGCCTAAAGGTATGGCGTACAGATGCAGGCATGACCTCTGATCTCATTTATGACTACAAAAGACTCCCACATCGGCTCAAGAAACGTTACCTTAAGACAGTAGGTTGTCTTCTGTAACACTTTCTTCCATGCTTGTGCATCTCAATAAATGAAAGTATCTTCAAAAAGTGAAATTTGGTAATTCTAGTCAAAACTCACTGCACACTGAGAGATAGATATTAATTTCTGTTAATTCCAATGGTGAGTTATTTTATATCATCATTAAAAGGATATTAATCTAGAGCTTGTATGTTTTGTTCTGCACTATCCAAAGAAACCAGTTATCCAGCAGATAGTGATTGACCCTTACTCAAGAAGGGTGTAACACAAAGGTTATTGTTACAGAAAGATGGCTGTTAAGCATCTTAACGGAAAGTAATTGTGAGGAAACAGTTACTTAGAAAAATGTACACAAGCAACATGCATATCTTCTGCTTTGAAAGGACCATGAAGCAACCCTCCTATATAGGAGAGGGGCTAGAATTGCTACATTTGTTTTAACAAGCCATTCTAGAACCAGAGACCAGATTGTTGCTTAGTCTTCAAAGTTCATGACTTTGCTGGCGATTTTGTCCTGTATTAGATTGCTTGATCATAACTTTTTCTCAATGCAGACTTGGTCAACCACTTCATAGTCTTAAGGACTTACTCCCCAGGTGTATTTAAAGATACAATATTGGAGGATCAACTTCATGTCAGGACCTTTCAGCTGATTGCGAGGTGTAAAGAACATACGTAGCTTGTGGATTGAAAATGATGATCTAAAAAAAGAGCTCAAGTTGCCTGTGATCTAGTGTTAGGTTTCTCCAAACTTTATTTAGATGCTGCTTTTACTTTCCAGCTGGACATTTTACTTGACCACACTGCCAAACATACCAAAATGTGTAATGATCTTGGTAACACTGAGCTTCACTGACTAGAAAACTTATGGGATATTGTCTAGAGGAAGATTAAAGACAACACAAGACCAATGGAAAGAGCCATTGGTCTTGTGTAATATTCAAATTTTGCGAGAAACTGAAAGGTTTCCGTCAGCTAAAAGCCATAATCATTAACTGTAACAGAAATTAACACTCTTTCTGTAATTAATTTCCAAATTGAATTAGTGGAATAACCACATTCTAATTTAATGCAGCATGCCTGTGTATTGATGAAAACATACCATGTTGCGTAAGATGTAATTTTGATAGACACATCAGCACCTGTTGACCATGTAGAGAAACTGAATTCAGGTTTCTAAAATTGAATTAATTCAGGATAATTGTGTTACAGAATGCCTCTTGAAGAGGCTCTAAATGCTTGAATTCTGTTGGAGAAATTCAGGCCAAGGCGCTGATTGAGTTCACCTGGTTTGCAAGTGCTGGGTTGCACAATTCAATCAATAATACAAGATAATTTATTTAGGAATAGGTTGTTTTCATGCACAGTTGTGACAACCTTTCACTGATGAAGAAGAGGTTGCTGATAACTGTACTACTTTTCTAATGTGGTCATGAGTTGGACTTAAACAAGAAGGACAAAGTATTGTGTACTCACTCCCAAGCCCCAGTGTGCTGATAACTGTCCATCCTACATAAAATTTAGTTTAATACTAACTCTATTTTTGTCTTCACAGTCTCTCCAAATTGCGTCTTCAATGGCAAAAAGTTCTCAGAGGGAGAGGTGTACCGCATGGACCCCTGCTGGCTGTGTCAGTGCCGCGGAGGAATCTCCTTCTGCTCCAAAGCCGAGTGTGGTGAGCTGGACTGTGAAAAGTTCTACATTCCAGAGGGCGAGTGCTGCCCCGTTTGCATAGGTACACATTCTTTCACTGAAATGTGTCAATTTCGTTCAAGATTTTTGCTGAATCATCACATTATTCTAATCAGCGAGCCCAAATTAACGTTGGCATTTTTGAAAAATGCTGATTTTTTTGCTCGGTTTGCACCACTAATTCACCTTCAGTTTTTAGTGAGAACAAACCCTGAGACTTTCAAAAAGGCTTTGCAAAATGGCAAACTTTGAAAAACAGAATTACAGTGGTAACCAAATGTTGATTTTTTTTTTAATCTGAAAAACTGATATTTTGTAGAGCAATTTCTGTTAGTGATGTATCCACGTAAACTGGACATCTACAGATAAATAAAATTATGACACAGATGCCCACTTCTTAGAGCACTACTTTTCCAATTTTCTTTCACATCTTTTTTGCTTTGCCCTGTTAAACCTTATGACCAAGTTCAGAAAGTTACACAAGAGACTAAACTGTAAGTACTTTTAAAGAACATAAGCTACTATTTTTGCTATTTGCTATTTTAGCTACTATTGATCTTTCAGATCTCTTTCCTAACACTGCTTTAGCCATGCTCATGATCTTCTTTTGAATTTTAATTTCTGCTATGTTTAAGTTGTTGCAAGCCACTGGCACATAAAAGTTACAACAGCATTTCTCTGAAATCCTTTAGCTACAGATATTTTTTTAACCAGAATATTATACTAGCCAATCTCTGAATATGATAATTCCTTGTCTTGTAACTCACCCTGTGCGAGCTTATCTTAATAACTCCCTCATACACTCACCTGTCATAGTTCTTGACATATGTGGCACATAAGAACAGCCAGCCAGGGATTCAATAAGTCTTTTAGTAAGCAATGATTTGCAAGATCGGTTTTATTTCTAATTTGTGAGGCATGCGCTCAAAGCCAGGTAGGCAGCTTTGCTATGTCAATTTGGCTTTGGAAGAGAAAAGGTCTTGCGGTGCATCTGGCAACCACATTATAGTCAGTCAGGAGCCTGTGGATGTATATTGCAGCCAACACTGGCCTCTGCCAGCATACCTACAGTTAATCAAATGCATGAGAAAGGATAAAAGGCAAAGAGTTGGAGCGTTGGAGGATCACCTTGAAATGTGGAGTCTTTTGGATGATTTCAATGCTGTTCTAACAGAAAATCAATTTGACTTCAATTCAAATAAAAGCTATCAATGCTTAAATAAACAAAAACCTTTGATCAATCACACAATGCTCTTTTAGAACACTCTGTTTGACATTGATGTCCAAACTTTTTTGCCATGAGGCCCAAAGCATGTGGGGGCCACAAGTATTTGCATATTTTTATAACATTATTAAAGCAAAAGTGTTGTAGTTTTTCTTTAATCTGCTCAATATCATACTAAAAAATGTCTCATTTGAAAAGTGAGACTTGCTTTTGAGAAAACCTAGGTTGATGTTTGTGGCTTTAGTTGCTCCATAATTAATGGGAATCTATTTTTTGCACCTAATATTTTTTAAGAAGATGTTATTTATAAAATATGTTGCCCTAAAATATGAAAAAGTGTAAATGAAATAATTGTATGCCAGATTTGCTCCGTTCTAATGGAGGGATGTGGGGCACCCCAGGTTTTACAGCGAGCCATTAAATGGCCCGAAGGCCGCACTTTGAACACACCTGCTGTATGACTTAGAAGTAAAAATCAAATTGTTAGTAGCCAAAGTCTGTGAGAGATTAGACAATGTAAAACAGAGTTTCAATAATATTTAAAATGAAGAGCAATTTATTATAGAGTTGACATTTTAAACTGTCTTATTTTAGAAGTTAGCATGGCTTGTGGTGTTATTAGTAGTTGGTATAGCTTTGCTGCCTTTCCGTGAGAAGATGCTGAATTTGAGTCCTGGCCTGGGGCCTTTTTTGCATTGAATTTGCTCAGGCTTCTCTTACAGGGCTTGATTCTGTCTGGGCCTAAAAAATACACGAAGTAGGATAATTGGTGTCTCTAACTTGCCCTTAGGAGTGATTGTGTGTGTGCAGGGTTGTTTTTCCTGTGGCCCTGTGATAGACTGGCAACCTGTGCAGAGTGTATCCCCCTCTCTAGCCCAGTGACCACTGGAGAAAGGTACCAGCACCCATATCCTCTGCCGCAACCGTGCAAGGATAAACAAGTATAGACAATAGATGGATGGTTAGCGATGCTAGCATGACTAAAACATCAGTTTGATCAAACACCAAGATTGCAGGTTTTTGTTTTTATATATATATATATATATATATATATATATATATATATATATATATATATATATATATATATATATATCTTGCTGTCTCAAAAGTTGAATGAACCACAGACACGTTCCAACAATTCTTCTGACTTCATTTGCTTTCAGTGCAATAATAAACATCAATATTTTGTTAAAGCAGAACTGGTACAGTTTATGAAGGCATACACTGAGTGAATAAAAATCAGCTTAGGCCAATCTCAGTCTACTGAATGGGATTTTAGCAATCAAAATTTCAGTATTGCTCTTGTACACTGTGAACTGCTACCTTTATGTCTTTCATACTCACACGAAAGATCCATGGTTTTAGATTTACATATATTAAGATTGTGTCTAAGATGTTTAAAAATGGCAGATAAAAACAAGGTTAAGAGCTTGCCTTCACTGTCATCCATTACCTAAAAGTGAGCAGAATAACTCCTCAGGTTAACTTTAAAACTGTCGCAAAACTTTATGGCTTCTACTCAAGGCTAATGAATAAATCTATAAAAGCACTTTCTTTTCTTCAGAGAGAAAATTAATATATTAGAAGTCTGGCTTGCCCTTTGACCAGGGACCTTGGGGATTCAAAGCTAAGATTTGAACAAAGAAGTTGTAGTATTTGCCAAAAACCAGAGTGGATTCTGCTGGGACTAGATATTGTGAAACTTTAAAGCCTGCCTATGTTGCACTTTAGAAAATCTTACTTGTAATAACAAATGTGCCGCAAACATTTAAGCTCTTGTTTATATTTCCCAAATTCAAAAGTGTTTTGTCGCTGGCTGTTGTTCAAAAGAAAGTCTCAGTATCTCATTGACTCCCAGGCGGGATATCCTGCTTCTTACTGTCTGCCTCAGCTGCAGACGAGGACGGGGAATCAACTCTGAAAACGGTTTTATTTTGACACCTAAGTAAACTATAAACACAGATTCACAAAACAAAAGTACATAAAATGTTCCTTTCTTCCTTTACTTTTGTACCAGAATTGCATAGCGGATGTGCATTTTTCTTCCTCAGATGTTGAGTTGATGTCGATGGACAGCACTAAGGCTAGCTGCTGGGTGAATAACAAACTCCGAACCCACGAGGAACAGTGGAAAGAAGACGACTGCACATTCTGTCAGTGTGTGGATGGGGATCCACACTGTACAGCCATGGCCTGCAAACAGAGTTGCCAGAACCCTGTAAAGATCCCTGGAGAGTGCTGTCCCTTCTGCGAAGGTATCGGAGGGCTTTCCAACCAAGCATCCCGTCGTATTTATTAAGTTTAATACACAGCCAAATTCTCTGGGCTACACATTAACCCACATACCGCACGGGTAAGGCTCTTGTGGCCCTGCAGCTTTACTACAAAGAATATATCGGCATGGGCTCATTAAAGGGGAGGCCATAGTGCATTCTTCAAGCTGTAGGGTTCTTTGTATTTCTTTATTGCCCTTGCCCACCAAAATGAGACCCACCTGTGTGGATGAGGTTACGGCATGCTTTCAAAGCAGGAGGCTGCATAATTGAGCTTGATCTTTTCTTTCTTCATAAAATTAGTTACAGCTCGACGAGCCACTCCTCCCGCAGAATGTCCCAAGAACGGTTCAGTTGTTCTATTCTTATTTATAATGCAGATTTACAGTAAAGTTGGCCCAAACACAAGGCAGTCTGGAGCCATGCGTGAATTTGCATTAAGCCCCCCGGGATACTTTTTTTCCTCTAAACTGGCAGACTGAAGCTTCTGCGTGTGCCAGACACATTAAACTTATTAATGGGAGGCTACTAAGCAACACACAGACATCCCATCCCATCTTGGAGTGTAACCTACCTTAGTGCAGTGTAATTGCTCTGCAGTTATCTGTAATTGCTGTTTAGAGCAGTGTAAATGTGCAAATAGGTAGCTATCACAGATGGAAAGAAAGATTAGACGTTGCACCAGAGGGGGATTAAACAAATGCTCATTTACGTTTGATAAAGTTATATTTTTATGTCATAATGCTACGTCTGTCACTGTTCTTTCATTTTGCAGAGCCATCCTATGAAACAGTTAGCCCTTTGCTGTGTCCACCATTGGAAAATTGCTCCCTTTCAGGGAATGAATGCCCCTATGGCTTCCAACAGGACCACAATGGGTGCCTCCTCTGCCAGTGTCTCAACAGTAAGTTTTACCTTTGGTTTGAAATCTCAGGGAATTGATTTTAGTGTAATAAACATCTGATATAAACATTGATCATTTTCTTGCTGAAAATGATCAATGCTCTGACTCCATTTTGTCAGATTCCTCTGACAAAATGCTTTGTCAGCGGAATCTTTGTGTGCACAACCAAATAGCACACTATGTCTTTGCTTTTCTAAAGCTTTATAAGATGACCTTCCTAACTCAACTCTTTCAGATGACTCCTGTCCTGACTTGGGAAAGTACTGTCCTCTGCAATGTCCGACGGGATATGAGAAGGATGATTTGGGCTGCGAGGTGTGTGAGTGCAGCATCCCCACTCCCAAGTGCCGAACCCTGACCTGCACAAAGACCTGCCCTTATGGATATGTGTATGTTCACCCGATGACCCAATGGGTTTCTCATCACTCAAATCCAGCTATTCTCATCTGTCTAAACATCTGTTTAAACAGGCCCGTGGCTTCAGCCTGTTTAATGTCATCTGTTTCTGTTGACTCTGCAGGTTGTTTTTGCACCTTCACTATTTTGTGGTTATGTATTGCTTTGTACCTGAAAACTTTGACAAGATGACGCATCAGTCTGTATCTGCCAGAAGCACTTTACGCAACTGTTTTGACAACTGATAACTACTAATGAGCTGCTAATAAAGACTAAGCCGCTGCAACTTTTAATCTGCTGAAAGCACTTTATGCAGCTGAAATGTTGACTGCTGTGCTTTCTCTTGATTAAACGAGAAACGATTTTGTTGCATATTTTACTGATTAAGTCGGTGCCTGCATTGCGTTAATGAGCCAGATTTATCCAGCTGACTGAATCAGTTTTAACTTTTTCCTAATTTATTCATATATAAACATGTAGACATTATCTAAATTCTTAAAATCCGAGGCATATAAATTGTATGTAATACATTTGTTAGATTATTAATTAGATAATATTAGCAATTTGTAAGTCATATAGAATAACTTTTAACTAAATCAAACTAAATTATAGATATATATATATATAAATATATATATATATATATATATTTTTTTTTGCATAATATGTCATTCAGATTAACTGAGGGGGAGTCACTCCAAGCAGGCCTTATTGTCAAGCACAAGAAGTTGACAGAAAATGAATGGAAAGGATTCTAAGTCACAATGTTACACAGAAGTCCAGTATTCTACCTAAAACTCATACGAAAAGCAAAAAGACTTGAGCATTTTGAACTTCAGAAATTTAGATTTTCTTTGTCCGGGTCTGGGAGAGGACTTCATCAGCTTCTTTAAGAACCATGTTAATCAAGTGCTTTATGTGTTTTAGACCTGTCACCTCTTGTGTGCACAGTAAATTGCTGTGTTTATATAATCAGCTGAGTGCTTATTGAATCTTATCGAGCATTACCTTGCAGCCTGTGCTTGCTCATTAGTCAGTATGTCAGCAGCTATTTGGCATCCATGATCAAAGCACCCATCTACCTTGGTGGCCATTCCCAGGATTCTGAATCTGTGAATGAATGTGTCTCTTTTTGAGTGCGATTAAGTTTCTGTGGGGTCCACGTTAGCCTTTCAGCTCCCTGCAACTCGTTCCCCTCCTAATCCCATTTAGCCCAATCAAACATCTGGGAGCGCTCTGTGCCAGAATGCTTAGTCCCCAGGCACTAGTCCCATTTCATAAATCATCATCCTGTCCCAAAGCAACGATCAAAACTGCATCAGGACCAAAGACAGCCGCAAGAAATATATACAGCCTTGCATCCGGGAGCTATGGCTGAAGACAGGCCTAATATAGTTGCAAAGAAAGGAAGAAAGTATAGAGAAGGATCCTGTGGGGGCAGAAAGAAGAGCAGGAAGTCTTTGTTTTATCCTTCCTAAGCAGCTGTTTGTGTCTTGCCTTAGAAGTCTGAAATCCTCTGAGAGCCTGTGTGTCTCACAGTGCAGATTTGTCCTCTCACACTCCTGATTGTAGCTACCACGAAGCAAAACAAAAACCAAGTTATAATGATCACTTGATGACATCCTGTGAGTTTTTTGGTGTTCAAATCCAAACTAGGAGAAAAACAAACCCTGGAAAATGGATTAGGTGTGTTTTGAAGAATCTCCTCTAGAATTACCAGTTTATATAAAGTTCTTTGCACCAGCCTGTTTTTGTACCTTATGAACTTTTTCATATGATGATAGACCAACACAAATTTGACTCATTGTGTTTCTTTTGGCGAAAACAAGTTATGTATCCATTTATTTTCACTTCAAAGTTGTGCACTAATTTCTGTTTGTCATAAGAACATCCAATAAGTTACATTGAAGCTTGTGGCAGTAATGTGATTAAAAAAAAAAAAAAAAAAAAAAAAAACTTTTAGATTTGTGAATAGTTATGCAGAGAACATCCACAAAGTCGAATCAGATTTATCCTTCTTAGTTAAAAATATCAGACTTTGAACGGCTTTTTTTCAGACATTACAATAGAAATTCTGCTGAGCCAGCAGTCTAATAACAAGGCCCCCCGTGTCTCCCCAAGAACCTCTATCCCCTCTGGAGCCCAAAGCCTTGCTTTGCATTCCACATGACATCTTTAAACAAAGCCTTGCCATAAGGTTGCCCCACACACTCTCTCAGTATTTGTACAGAGAGGCGCTGGCTGGCCACTCATAGTGTTGTTTCTATCACTCTTGTTGCTGTTTCAGCATAAATCGAGTCTTCAGTTTGCTGAAACTGAGATTTGCATCCACTTTATGCAGTGCATTATAGATTTTGGAGTCTGTTTGACTTCGGCAGACGAAGATTAATGGTGTGATTATTTGGGTTTAATGAAGTAGCATAAGAACCGAAATAATAAAAATCATAGCTTAACTGGAGAGAAAGTCAAAGAGGGAAGCTGAGTGAATGGTAAAGGTGTGGATACGGTTTATTCTTTTATCTGTGATTTGACAGTTCATCAAGCTGTAACCCATCCATGTTTATTGGGCAGATAATTGAATCCATCTGTCCTGTTTCCAGCTTCTGCATTTCATTCTGCTTCTCTCTCTGCATGAAATCTATACTTATAACTTTCCACCCAAGTTTCTTTCTTTTCCACTCAAGTAAAACTGTCTATTATCAGGTTGGCCATCGGAAGCCCCCTTCTTCCACCATCTTTTTCTGTAACGTCAACAACAATGTTTGAAAATCTACCCTAACTCTTACCAGTCCACTGCTCACAAACACTTTTATGTACAAACTGGAGATTCTGGGGCAATAAAGATGGCAACAGGCAGAATTGAAAGCATCTGAATTGGGTTTAAAGTGCCCCTTTCAGAGTCTTTAGGATTGGTATGATATTCAAACCACAAGCAACTCGCATGTTGACTTTTATTTGACATTCTTCAAAGAAACCAGTATAAAGAAAGAAAAACCGGTCCAGATGTTGATTGTTCGTGACTTTAGAATACTTCTTTCAATGTGTCACAAGACCATGTTTCTTCACAGATCTTGAAGAAATCCAGCTTTTGAAACGATTATGTGGGACTTCATAGCTAATTTGCCATTGCAATAACAGACTTTTACATTACACGTGCTTCAATGTGTGTCTCATCCTGCAGGAGGAACAAACATGGCTGTGAAATGTGTCGTTGTGTGAAATGTCCTCCCTTGACCTGCGACAAGTACTGTAGCAATGGCTATCGACAGAACAGGAAGGGCTGCAACATCTGCATGTGCAAAGGTATCAAAGTAACTATTAAGTACCGAATCTAATCTCAGCACTGGTGAAAATGGGACATCTCCAAGTTTTAGCTCACCAGAAATTATAACTGAAATGCACAATAATCTAACTTGGAGTCATCGTATATTTAGCTTTCTGGGTTCTACTGCATCTAGGTTGTTTTCATTCAACCGACGATTTATTTAAATAAGATAAATTACTGGGTCTTTTAAAGGCAAATGTAGATGTAGGGATATTTGATTAGTAGTCTCTCTGCTAAAACCGTCTCATTTACCTTAAGATCAACATGAATATGAGATAAGTGAAGTAAACTCCTATAGCAAATCTGAACATTAGCACTAAACAATCCTGGAGTTAAAAGCTTAAAAACAGGAGAATACAGCTTTGATCCTATGGGAGATTTTTTGGTTCTGTGACCTTTTGCTCCTCCCCAGTGAGATGAAAAGTTTTCCTGTTAAGTGTTTAGTTTTCTCCAGTGCATGTTTGTGTAACTGCAGTTGCTAAGAATTACCTCAAACCTTGAATTTCGAAATTATTTTCAGGTGCCACATTGATGCTGGATCACATTTCATGCTTTGTGTTTATTTTTCCAATTTAGGCATATTACAAATATTTAATCTCCTGGTTTTCTCGGATAGTGGGAGCAGTGGTACACCTGGGTTCCTTTCTACAAACACAAACAAAAACTCGACAACACCTTCTGTAAATAATCCTCTGTTTACTTGAGTTAAAAATTCTGAATGAGCTTCTGTTTTAGATTTGGGAAAATGTAAAGGAAAGAGAAAACATTTTTGGAAGTCCGTTTAAATTTATCTGTGTTTTTCAGACCTAAAATCTAAATGAATAGTCCTGTAAGCATCTGCCTAAGTTCGACAGTTCACAGAGTTCAAGCTGTGCTCCGGATCATTTCAAACTTTAAAAGCAGTGTTGTGACAACTTGACAATTTCTTGCTCTTAACAAGGTCTCTGGGTGCATTTGAACAATCTAATACTCAAGGCAGTGTCTAACTGAGTGAAATGACGTAGAAGTAACTATGTGGCTGTCATTAAGAACTCATTTTTCTCCAAGTGAAAAGAACATGAACTGCTTGGTTTTTTTTGTGCTCTTTCAAGAGCAAAAAGGTCATACTTTCTATATATCATATATTTGTGTTTCTAGAAATTGACCAAGTTCCAAGCACAACCGTCCCAGCCAGCATGCCCAGCTTCTGCCTCACCTCCAATGGCCGCAGGTATGAGGAGGGTGACAGCTGGCACGACGGCTGCCGTGACTGCTTCTGCCTCTCTGGGCGGGAGATGTGTGTCCTCATATCATGCCCCATGCCCAGCTGCTCTCAACCTGTTGTCAAGTCTGACCAATGCTGTCCTACATGTGAAGGTAAGGCTTCACTGTGAGAAACATCCCCATGTCTCAGCTTTATGAACATGTCTTGTCGTAATAACTGCAACATAAGACAAGATATCGAGCTTGCACTGGCAGCAAAGTCCAAAATCAAACCATGCCAGCTTTGTTTCCATCAAGCAAGTTGCACCAAAGTGCTGCACAGCAACAAATAGATAGGAACAGTTAAAAAGGGAAAAAAAAGGGAGCTAGGGTTAGAAAACATGAATAAATAATTAATTAGCTTAAAAAGAAGCAAAGTAAAGCAAATAGAAATAGTAAAAATATCAAGTGTAGAGTTTATGACCAATTAGCCAGATTAGGTCTTGACATCCCTAAGCAACATCTGCTGACTATTGGAACAGCCAACGGTGGAGATGGCACTAGTGTCCATCTTCATTGTAAATAATCATCCACTTCTGTGTAATATCCCAATGTGGCCACAGCTCAAAGGTACATAAAACAAATAAAGGAATAAACTTCTATGTCTCTTTTAAGATCAGAGTTGCAATATTAGCTGCTTGTAGCCTCATTAAAAAAAATAAAAATGTAAACAATCACTACTGAAGCCAGAAACCTACACTTGGTTTGGAACACAGATACACACACAGCATGTGTCTTTTTATTCAGATAACAGTCTTACGACAGACACTGTGATAAGAGGGAAACTGTTTTATGAAACCTTGAAGTCTAATCTTTCCAACAACATAGCAGAGTTTGCATGGTGCGGTCACACTAGCAGCAGTCGTACCTAAACACTTTCCTCATCTGGTAATAACATATCATAGTCCAACTTTTAGATTCTAAACTTCATGGCCTCTCGATTGGGCACAGTCACACTCTCTATGTGTTTTGTTGGAACTGGAAGGCGCGCTGATCCACACCCACACTTTTATATCCACAACTCTCCCACTTGTAAGGGATATTTATGGAGGGGTGACTCAGCTGGCTGTTCAAATATTTAGAAATGAAAGACTGTCTTCTACTTTCTACTAAGCACCCTTTTCAGTCAGGGGACAACAGTCTAACTCTTTGCAGATGTGCTCTGCGCTCTGCGAGACACTAAATATGTTTTCGGCTAAGTGTGTGAAAAAAACAGACTTCTGTACGGTGCCAGAGGCTTCTTTTTATTAGACAGTGATCTGCACTTATCGCCTCTGACCTTCATTAACAAGATATTGCTAAAAAAAAAAAAATCCCTGATTGATCATGATTAAATCAAGCTGTAATTTACTCTTTGTGTCAGATTTGATTACTTTTAATTATGTTTATGAATGTAAATACATATATTCATATTCATAATTATGGATACAGTTGTCAATGATTAGAAATCAGGTAAAATTCCTCAAAGCTCCTTTTCATTTAAGAGAAGCAGGCAAAGGTTTCTTCATCATTAGTCAAATTAATTGAAACTATTACATCAATAGGATTATACAACATATTTTTTTTTTCCTCCCTATGTTTTTAAACTAGAGTGAGAGCTTAAAAAACATAACCAATCATTCTTAAACAATTCACTCAGGAGATTCACGAAGCAGGGGATTCATCATAGGTCGTTATGACTAACCCTGGCAGCTTTCACATATTTTCTCAAGCTTGTTGTTTTCTACCGTCATCAGCACGTATTTGTCAAATTATTTAGATTGACAGTGAAGAAAGATATGACGTCTTCTGTGAAAACCGAGTGCTTTTATACCCTGCAGTTAGTTGTGTGTTTACTACCATCTCCTGAGGTGCGTCAGAGATGTACTGGTGTTTCAATTTCGTTCCAAGTCAGGACCTGTCAGAGGATTTTGAGCTGAAACAAAGACATGTAGATATCAGAACAAAGGAGTATCTGAAAGAGGCTTGAAATTGTCCAGCCAAGCGATTTTCAAGGTAGTTGAGGGGGACAATTAAAAGTTTGTTAAAGGTCAGACATAAGGTGTTTGTGGTAACTACAGAAAACAAGAGAAACAAATTGTTTCTTTTCTCCATCAGATGAGTCCGGCAGTGGCCAGCCTGAGGGGATGGACATGGTGGTGTGCAGAGCACCTGGAGGGGAATTTTATGTGGAGGGGGAAACTTGGAACCTGGACGAGTGCACGCGCTGCACCTGCAGGAAGGGACGCGTCCTGTGCGACACGGAAGTTTGTCCCCCAGCGCTTTGCCAGACACCCATCAGAAACAAGGACACCTGTTGCCATATGTGCCCAGGTAATAAAAAGAGGGAAAGGAGGGGGTTCCCTTCAGGAAAACAACAAGGTCGAACAGCTTTAGGAGGGGGCCGTGTGAAGCAGGTCAGGGTTGTTTAAAGCTGCTGTTGATGTGCTATCAGCATGTGGTTTTGTAGGGTCTCGCATGTTGCTCTTTGCGGCCAGTTTTATGTCAAGCACAGAGGCCCATAAAGAAACCAGCAAAGACCGGTTGCGTTTATGTAGAGCTCCTCCAGGCAAGAAGCACAACATGTGGACTGCTTTCACCCAGCGGCCCACATCAGAGACTCGTCTAACTGTCTGATTGCTGATGGGACGAGACTGTAATCTTTCTGCATCTGTAGCGCTCCACTGCTGAGGCAAACGTAAAACCACATGCACATTTTATTTACAACTGACGCCAAACATTTCAGAATGTCTCACACATTTATAAACTTACAAACAACATTTCCCATGCACTCCCAACAATGAGGCCCACAAATCATCCATGCATGACTGCATCTCAGAGCTGCTCCTCGAGAATGCTGGCCTGCCTTATCCCTGCATCTCCGTGCACAAAGACGGGCTGTCAAAGGCCACACTTTGATATATGTATGGGCCTGGTCACCAGGAATCTGAGAATAACACACATCTCGCTGATAAGCCTTGTAATGGATGTGTACAGTGGAGTGTGTACATGCTGACTGAGTCCCCCTCAGTGTGGTCATTAAAAAGCTATAGATCTCAGCCCTGCAGCCTTGTCAAAGATGGAGATAAGAGTTTGGGCTTAAGTGACAGCTCCCAAAGAGAGTCACCTGGAAAGCTGCCGCTACGGCCCTGTAACCCTTGTGGATTGAAATGTTAAATATCGCGGGTCACTTAGAAGCTGAGCTCTCAATTAGGCAATGCACGGCATTCTCCGTTAGCTGTTCACACGTATTTCTGGCTTTACTCAATCGATGTAAGTGGCTCTAATGTGACAGGCTTCTGCAGTGTTTCATTACTGATCAGATTTGCATGTGTCCACTGACAGAAGAGACAGAGAGCAACTTGCTGCCAGTGAACGGCAGCCAACAGGAGTTCTGCATAACCGCCGAAGGAGACATGCTGCAAGCCGGGGACTCCTGGAAGGCCAACGCCTGCACGAGCTGCACGTGCAACAACGGCACTATTCAGTGTTTCTCCCAACACTGTCCGGCAGCCAGCTGCAGGGTGCCGGTTTTACTCAAGGGCCAGTGCTGCCCACATTGTCTCGGTACGTTTGTGGGTGGGTGTCGAGAAAAACATAGATGGGAGAAAGCTGCCTTTTGTTCTGGGAAGTTATCCTTAGTTGAAACAGTTTAGTTTAGTTGGCATATTTGAAATTATGCACAGTGCCTTGGGTGGGCGGGATTTTATATGAGACCAATACAAAATAGCACAGAATTTGTCAACAGGTAATTGTTAGTCATTTGGTCCACAAATCAGACCCTTATGAAAAAGTGGCAAGAAAAAAGCCAGTGTTTAATAAAACCAATGAGAAGTGTGGGATTTTTTGTATTATACAAGGCACATAGGGGACACAACAAACATCTAAAAGGAGGTGCTCTGGTCAGATGATACAGAAATTGGTAGAAATCAAATTCTGCACACCAACCTCAAAGCAAAACATGGTGGTGGGGGCTTCATGCCGTGTCAGTAATATTCTCTAGTAGGGACAAAGAAGGTGACCGGAGTTCACAAAAAGAGGGATTGTGCTAAATTAAAAGCGATACTGGAAGAAAACCTGTTGGAGCTACAATGTAGTGATTAAGATCAAGGCTCACATTCATGTGTGAGATGTACTCACAAATGCATTCCTCGCTTTTTACGTTTTTATTTATATAAAACATCGAAAACCATGCACTAACATCTGACACTTCACAGCCATCCACTTCTACATACCAGTGTGCCATAAAATTCCCTCCAAAAATACATTGATGCCTATAACAAAACACTGTTTTTGGCTTTTGCAAAGCACTGTATCACTTCCCTCTACTTTTGAATGATGGTGTTAGTAATATTGGTTGTAATGTCATGAGTCATGGTGCTACTACAAGAGAGGGCTTAAACTGATTCTCTGACCATTTGTTAGATCCAGCCACTTAAACACTAAACAGGCAAACAGGATCACATAGAAAACATTCCATGTGCCAGACCCACACAGTCCGCTCAGAACGAAAACATTCCTTGAGCATCCGCACATTCACACGTGCTTCCTGTCCCCTGGCTGCATTGGCCCATAACGCTTTCGCCTGCTGGCACCACAGGAAGGCAAAGTCCCATGTCAGCTTTTCCTATAGAGGAAAAACTAAGCATACCCTCCTATTGTTCGCACTGACGTGTAGCTGTTTTGTTATTTAGCCGACGGAAAACGGAGCTTTTAACGTAATGTGCGCACAAAGCGTCCCAGTGGAAGTTCGGATGACAGATCCAATAAACACAGCTTATCAGCTGAAACACCAGGGAGTGTAAACACTAGCTCACTGCAGAACTCTGAAAATATTGGCATCTTGCTTCTGTCTGAACAGAATCAACAACATCAGCATCAGTGACTGTATCCACCCGCACACCACAAGAAGTGGTCACCACCAGCACATGGCAGAGTGAATCTTGGATTACAACTGTGACCGTCCCACCTGTCACCGCTGACACAGGTAGCTGTCTGTTCTTCATCGTCCTCCAGTACCGATCCTGTCCTGTTAGCTATGTGGCAGCTTTGCCACACTCTTCCTGCCAGTCCCTGAGAGTGTTTATGCTAATGTGGTCTGTTGGGATTGGCTTAATAAATGAGTGAAATGTATATTAAAACAAGAGTGATAAATGGACTTGAGCTAAACATGATCCTTCCTGAGGGAAACAGGAGTCATTTTTCATTTTGAATGACTGGACCCACTTCTCTGCCCAGGAGTATATCATTAGTTCAAGATGTTTTCAATTTAGGATCAGTAAATGTTGCTGTTACAGTGCAGAGTAAGTTTTCCATGGGATGAATACATCAGTTCCCAAGGAGTTCAAGTATTTTCCAGGTCTGGATAAACATGGAAAAAGTAAGAGTATTTAAAAAAATATATTTGTATTTCAGACATGCTGTTCTTGTATAGACCCATTTTTCAATCAGTTAATCTCTGCAAATGTCTGTCCCTCCATTCATCTATGCATATGTCAGTCAGTCCCTTTATTTATCTGTCTGCCCATCAGTGCATATATTTACAACCTAAGGTCGGGAATATTTTCTGTATATTTATAGGGAGCTTCTGTTTTTACACTTTAATAACAGGAACAAACAAACAGGGGCCCCCAGAAAGTGGAGCATTTAGGTATTTAGAAATGTGTAGAAATCCAGATCCATAAACGTCCTATGTCTTTTCTGTCTCACATAGACCAGCCACGTTTGGGTGAGAACTACCCCAGCCATACAGAGATGGCTCTTGCTTACCAATCAGCTGCATGGATCCTTGCAGGACTCCTTTTGGCCATCATTATCTTTCTCATTGTGGCATTACTCATCAACAAGAAAAAGAAGTGGGTGCAGATGTCCTGCTACAGCGCACCAAAGAAGGTGAGCAATTGTCCGCAAATTAATAGTCTGCTGACATGTGATGATTTTTGATTTGACTGGCTCTAACCAGCGAACAGTTTTTTCGGAAACACAACTTCACACTAACAAAAATGCTCTTCAGGGTGGAAGCTACTCCTGAGGAAAGGAGGTGGGAATATTACTTTGGTTCATTTAGGCTGTGATAGAACAAGAGAGAGCACAACTTAGCAGATAACAGGAAGCCTGTAAAGAGCACAACAAAGTTCCCGTTGATCAATTTGAGCTTTTTAGCTGTTTGTTTTGGAATATGCTGTTTTTGGAAATCTTGGCACTCATTTGGAAATCTCAAAGTTAAGGTAGGGGTCAGCTTTTTATAGAAAATTGCATTTTCTGTGTTGTCTTTTATTATAGTTTTATTAAAGTTCTTAGAGAGAAATTGGAATCACACAAAATCCAGTATGTGCAGGTCAGAAATAGGACACAAAATCCCGATTGCTCCGTCTTTAAGCAAAATATCTAACAAAGAATTGTTACTGTTAAGTTGAGCTTAATTTCTGACTTTTCCTAGGAAGCATTTTCCCTGATTTCCCCGTTCCCGGCCCAGCCGGTACTAAAACTGTCACAGCTTAAGAATAAATGGTGTTTCCCTTTGCTCTACGCTTTCAGATAGCAAAAGGTCGTGCCTCCCATAAACCTTTAAATGAGCCTATAATGTCAAAATATCAAGTTATCTCTTTTTCTATAACAAGCGAGCACCAGTGAACATAAATCATGATGCTGTCACTGCAGGTCTACCAAATAATGACCTTAATGCGTTGTTTTCCATCCTGCTCCCCCCTCCCCACAGACGGTCATCCTGAAGAAACACGTGAACAAGAATTCAGTCGTCTACATGGAGCCCTCCAAGGAGAATAAGTTTCAGAATATGAAGACTGACTGCGGCATCATCCACTTCTCTCCAGAGATGAGCTCGCCTCCCTGCACGGAGAAGATGACCATTCCCAGGGCCAAACTGAGCATGGGCAGTGACTGGACGCCACGCTAAAAAGAAATTTATAACAGCAACTGAGGCAAAAGAAATCCCCATACTGCTCAGTTTTTCCCAGTTTTTCTTTTGTATGAGAGATAAACTCAGCAAGAAGCATATGACCAATGCTGTTTTTTTTCATCATTCGCCGATTATCTTCGTAGTTTGGACGTTCGGATGAGCGACAAACTTATATTGGCGATGGACTAGTGGATGTATTAAGAATACAGCCAGTCTGGGTGGCAAGGAGGATCCAGAGAGACTCATCTGCCAGAATCAAACTCCTGTACTGTAAAACACTTGCTTCTTACTGTTTCGTTTGAAACTGGAACTTTTGCAGATGAAGGAGGAAGAGAAAAAGCTTTAGGACAGGGGTTTGGGCTGTGGCATAAAGGGAACATTTAGAATGCTAACCCCCATCCCCCACAAAGTGCAGCAGTGCATCGTGGATGTAACCATCGTTAGCAGGCCAGACTCAAACCCCTGCATTAGAATGTGTGGTTTTCATTTTAGTTATTGTATATTTTTACAGGATTTGTATCATATGTGGTCTTGTTTCTGTTTTGTTTCTTACTTTAGAGCCATTTTAAAGTTATGTTTATGCTATTTGGAACATTCCCACACACTTCACAAATAACAGCTTTGTCTAACTTCAAATGAGTGGAGCCATTCCTTTTTCAAAGAAACCCGGTTAAAGCAGCTGCAGTGCCTTGCTCAAGCATTCATATCCCTTGAACACATTTTGTCACATTACAATCTGAAAATTCAATGCATTTTACCAGTATTTTCTGTGACTGACCAACACAAAGCATAAGGAATTCTGAAGGGAAAGGAAATGTGATTTTCAGAATTTTCTTTACAAATAAAAATCTGAAAGGTTTTGATTTCAGACAGCTGCATGTCTTTTGGAGCATCACCAAATAAAGACTAAAATTTTTGCCAATTGTATTTTGCAAAGAAGCTCTTACGCTATCAAATTGCATAGGGGAGCCAATTGGATTCTGATCCCATTGCTGCTACCACTTCGTTTCACAGTAGGGATCCATCATACATGAAATTTCACTTGGCCAAAAGATTACATTTCAGTCTCACGTGATTTTTCCATCTGCTTGCTGCATGACTCATCAATAAATATGAGATTTATTGGAGTTCACGACTAAAGTCTGTCCTGCCAAAACAATTATCCACGTTTGTGGCTCACTGAACCTATTTATAGACCAGGTTAAATGTACAAGTACAACACACCTTTCAGAATTTTATTCATAAATAAAATGAAAATGATGTTTCCTTTTGCTTCCACAGTTGTTTTCTTTTTCTTGTTGGTCCAACACATACAATCCAGAAGAAACATTGAAATGTATGGCTTCAGTTTGAGTCAATGTGAAAAAATTCAAGGGTATTAACTTTTGTGCAGACACTGGAGGTGAACCGAGTCTGAAACGTACCTTCCAGTCATCTTCTTTCAGCCAGAACTCTGCAACTCATTTGAAAGCTATTAGAGGTGAACCAGGCTGATTGATGTTCCTTCAGGTTGTGTCAGGTTATGACCAAGCCAAGTTAAAAAAACAAAAAATGGATCGGCAAGGAATGTCCTTAACACTTCTTTCACTTAATTGCGGCAGAGTTGCTGTTTATACATGTCAGCAATTTGCTTGGGATTATTATTTATAGAGCCTTAATTCTACAGCCTTAGTGTTTTTTTTTTTTTTTACACACATTACTTTGGTTTTAACTTTTAGCTAGTGTCAAAAAAAAAGTAGTATACACAAGGATAAAGAGTTCTGGATCTTCCACTGTTTATATTCAGAGGAATAATGTGAAGTGTTGTCATTATCGGAGTTGAGAATGTGTAGGTGTTGATATGTAAAATTTCTGTGTTTTAAAGACACATCACTCTCTTCAGAGCCAGCGAGGAAAAACAAAAATATCACCGTTCAGAATTCCTGAAGGAATAAAAGTCCTAATCAGGAACTTTTTAGGTAACCAGAGATGCTGAACCACTGGGGGTGAAGGTTCTGGACCCGCTTGGTCCGCACAAAGGACAGATTCCGAGAAGCATTGCAAAACAGTCTAGTTTTTGGATCGGAGTTGTCTCTTCTTTGCCAATATCCCAATTCTGAAATGGTTCCAATGCCAAAATAGGTCAGTTTATTCTGAAGTGTTTGCAGTACGCGTGTCTGTTTGAATTATAAGCTTTAAAACGAAGAAGCGGACCGTAAAAGCTTACACGTAAAAAGCTCTGTCCTAAGTGTAAAAACGTAAATACGTAGACGTAAGAGAACCTTATTTATTTTTTGACATAGCTTTATTTATTAATACTAAAGTATAGTTTGAGATTTTTTTTCTTTATTGAAAATAGCTTTAAGTAGCTAAATGTAATGTACATTGTAGACCGTTTATCATTTCTCTTTGCTATATTCTCTACCTTATTTATTTCAGTGCTGCAAATCTTGTAAATATGTTTCTAGATTAGAAACTGTAACATTTATGCTTTTTATTTTTAAGAAAAATAAATGTGTGAACCGGAGAGGCTTGTGCTGATAAAGTTGAATTTCCCAAATGTCAGTGATGTCATTCAAGATGGTACTGGTTAGGGGTTTTGCTTCACTTGCATACCCACACACATCTGGTCCTAGACTTGTGCTGTAAATGGGAATTCTTCTTCTTTTAGTTCTTTTAGATCTGATTGCTTTTCAGTTGCAAATGGATCTAACAGAGAAGGTGTTTGAGTATGAATGAAGAGGAAGAAGACCTCTTCTCTGGGCTGGTAAAATACTGAATGAAATGACTCAAGGCCTGGACGTTTGGCTTGCCCTGCTAAGATCACCTATAAAGAAGATTCTGGAAGTAAAAAATTAACCACCTTAGTGTCTTCAAGTCAACCTATTTACCAAATATATATATATCATTGGATGCAATCTACATGCCCACTGGTTAACAGGAAATCCTGTTTTTCTTGTTAGCAGCCTTATAGGTTGTTTGGCATTATGGGTGTTCCTTGAAATCCCAGGACATTTAAATAAAAATGTGATTTTTTTTTTTGTCAGTAAACTGAAAATGGATCATTTACAGTTTGTTTTAGTTAATTAGCTGATTAGGTTGTGACACTGAGTTTCTAATAATCTCTTTGTTCACAGTATTCTAATTTTACGAGACACTCAATGTTGGGTTTTCATTATCTGTAAGCAACAAGCATAAAACTAACAAGAAGACAACAAGGAATAGATCACTCGTTGTGCTGATTATACGTAATATACAAGTTTCACTTTCTGAGATAACTAGTGAGAAATATTGCACTTTTATGTAATGTTCCATATTTTTAGATGTATCTGTATTTCAAGACTTTTTACACATCTATACTAGGGGTGTTGTTTTTTGTTTTCCCATAAGGGATTGAATGGTTTGATGAATGGATGCATTTAACTACGCTCATATATTTTTTTTGTTTGCATAACAATATATAAACAGATTTCAAAGGACTCAAAAACATCCCCAAACAACTTTTGAGGTAAAACGTGACGTTCAGAATGTTCACCATGGATGATGTCTGTTTATGCTCTGGACACAGAAACAAAAAAAAAAAAAGTCAAAGCGTGGGAAAATAACTTTTATTCCCTCCAACTTTTCCTCATGACACATAATCTGCAACAAGTAGCCCTTTTCCTTCCAAAATCTACAGCATGTATTAAGGCAGCAAAGTCCATTAAACCTCTTGTTTCTGCCTGAAAACACCGAAAGGTTTTTGGGAAATGTTCAGAGTTTGGAGCTAAAGAACTATTAAACATGATAAAAGAAGAGTCCCTTGTGTCTTTGGGGCTTGTATTTTTGCCCCAAATGGAAAATCTGTCCAATCTTTGAGCAGATCCTGCAGGTCTGAGGATGAAATGCAGTCCTTGATTCTCACAAAAGGATCTTGTAGTAATCATCTTTATAGCTGTACAAGACCACCACAGCCACCCTGAAAAAAGGACAACATGTGTTTGTTATATTGAGAAGGGGGAAAAAAAACGTACACTCGACATCCAAATGGAACATTTCAAAATCAGAACAATGAAATTTAGCCAGGAGGTTTTCCGGGAACTTTATTAAGTAGTAAGTTCTGTTTAGCAAGAGGATGTAACTCTGCCAGGAGCACATCTCAAAAGAGACAGAACCTTGCAAGTCACAGTATATTTGAACAAAACATAATTTTCATGAGTCATAAAACTTACTTGTGAAGTTACCAAGCTAAATAAATAAATCCAATATGAACCAAGTAAAGGAGGAAGGCAGAAAATAACCTCAGCTAAAAGAAAAGCCCCACACCTATAATAATTATTTTAACTGTCTAAGAACAGCCTTTCAGAGTTGCCAGAATGACCGTGGGCGAGTTGAAACAGCAGTGAAGATGCAGGTTTCTGACTCATAGAAAAGGTCACTGCCTTCAAACCCGTCCAAGATAAGTTTAGTTTATGATTCTGCTGCAGCAAGGTGACTGCTGTGAAAACCCTTTACCCCGCTCATCTGGCCTCAGCTGCCTGTCCCTCACATTCAACAAAAACATGCACACGAAAGGACAAAGAGCAGATGCAAAATGTATACATCATCTCTGGCTCTGTGGCCCGGTTTATCGGTGAGGCCTTGTGCTTCCCCCTAAACAGCAACGCAAACACAAAGCAGAGATGGGAAATTGAAACCAACTGCGTTGGAGAGGCTTTGATTTTTTTTTTTTTTTTTTTGTTCCTGTTGCCGTCTCATTCATGAAACTGGCTCTGGGGAGCTGGCCTGCGTCGGACAGCTGAGGTGTTATGATCCAGACGCCAGAAGACCAAACAAGGCGAATCCTTTTCCAGATTTCACCTCAGGAAACGGGATCAACGGGGGATTTAGTGTTCTTCAAGGTGGTGGTTATCTGTCTAACAGCGCTCTTTGAAGCTCTGGCTGTCACCGTCACACCTGGTGTCAGGGAGTGGCAGTTGCCTACAAAGGAGGTTTTAATGTTTTTTTTTTTGTTTTGGTTTTTTTTAAATCATCATTTAACCTATTTACCTGCTTAGTTTTGGCTTTTTTTTTTTTTTTTTTTTTTTTTTTTTTTTTAAAAAAAAAATTTTTTTTTTTTTTTTTTTTTTTTTTAAGAAAATATCATAAAATTCTTTTTATAAAAAAA